TTTTGTTTCATTTCAGTTAGTATTTCGTAATTTTCAGTTAATGTATGATATGTAACCCTGGCTACTGTACCTGTCTCATGGCTTAAAAAAGATTATGGACTGTTATTGTAAAAGTCAACTTTAGAACTGAACCATATTAAAAATCATAACTGTGGTAGCAACTGTGGGCAAAACTGTTTACACTGAACTTCTAGTAAGTATGGTTGACTTATTTCACTGCCGTTACCAATAAATATAAGTTTAATACAGTTTCTGCTAAAACCATACATGTAAAAAGTTCTTTTAACTCTTTTAACTCACACTCCCTTTGTTAGTGTGAGAGACAGAATGGCTTGGTTTTAGAAGCCTTTTCTTTTGTTGCTGCCAAATAACAATTGTTACTTCATCCACTTCACATAATGCTTTGGTTTAGTCACGGACCTAATTCTTTAGGGACAGTCATTCTGGGCCAGTAGACACTTTCCCTGGCCTGTGTTGGGCACCCTTCTATGTCAGTATGCGATCTGTGAACTCTGGATGGGAGGGCCCTAAGGGATATCGAGACAAGGCATTGATTTCCTTGAAATACGATTCCGTCTTCAACTGCGAGCTGGTTGCACACTTTAAAATGTGGCTTGATTTGGTGATGGAGATTCTTCTTGGTCTCAGGCCATCTGTTCTTGATTACTTTCTGAAGAGCTTATATTGAGCTGTCTTGTTTACTTTGCCCTTGTTTGAAGTAGATTTCAAGGTCTTATTTCTGTAAGTGAAGCAGCATTGTTTGAAGATGGTTAGGAGCTGCGATAAGAGGCTCTTTGTAGATAACCTCCAGTGGTTTGTTGTCCCTTTTGATAAACACATTTTTTGATTAAATTTCTCTTTTCCTAGCCCCTGTATAGTTTACTTGTTCAGTGCAACCTTTAGCTTGCTGCATTACTGCTTTTGCCTTTTCACATTGCTCAAAGTTTTTAGCTGTCTGCAACATTGTTTAAATGGGGTGATTTCTTTAGTAGCTTAATCCCTGTGACCCTCATCCAGTAGTTTTGACATAAGTCTGTCGTTGTTGATCCCTGATATGAATTTGTCTGTAAGTAGCTGGTCCTCGCAATTAGCACAATACTCTATTCTCCTTCCTTGTTCTTTGACGTGTCCTTCCCAGGGTGTGACTGATTCATGGGTTTCTTGTTTCATTTGGGCAAATTTTGTTCTCTCTGTTAGAAATCCTTCATTCACTATGAAATGTTCCTTGAAATGTTTGAGAATAATCTCTGGTTCCTTCCGTTCCTCTTCTGAGAGCTGAAAGCCTTGCACGGTGTTTTTGAGTTCTTTGTTGCCTTAGCAGCAATGGCGGAGTGAAAAGCTGCCATAACCTTGCCTTTTGCTAACCAGTAGTGTTTCCACTCCTTCTTCGGTAGGAGGTGGCAAAGGCTTGGTATCATACCATCCATTGAGCTCACAGCAATCTTTGAACAACTGAATAGACTTTTCACAATTCTGTGGTGGATCTGCCAAAGTCAAGAATTTCAGTAGCGTGACTGCTTGGACTCCCTGTCCTGATGAGGACACCATAACAAGTTTTCCTTAATTTTCTGTGTTCCGTGGACGGTGTCCGAACAGACAATCCCAGTGCGTCATATGTAGACTTTGTGTGTCAGAAGTTTGGTGATGAGAATGCAAGAGTGAGCTTCTGGAAGAATAGTTTATTTCCACAGTTTTTTTTTGCCGCCGTTTCGAGATCATTCCAAAACTTTTTCTTTGGCACTTCTTTGCACGTATTCTGGTGCAAATGTCACTGTTTTTCAGCACACTTAAGTAAAGATTTTGGATCAATTTAAGATTTTATGGGTATGTTCAAGTGCTGCTTTAGATGGAAATGTATGAAAGCTTGTTGTGAAGTTACTTGGGATTACGGCTTAACTATGAGTGTGGCTATTTTACTCATTAAGTCTTATTTCTGTAAGTGAAGCAGCATTGTTTGAAGATGGTTAGGAGCTGCGATAAGAGGCTCTTTGTAGATAACCTCCAGTGGTTTGTTGTCCCTTTTGATAAACACATTTTTTGATTAAATTTCTCTGCTCCAAACACATTGCTAAAAGTTCCTTTTCAGTCTGTGTGTAGTTGCTCTCTGGGGTGCATATGCCAATTGGCTGGCCATTTTGAAGAAGTGTGGGTCCAAGACCAGTGTTTGATGTGTTGCACTGTAACACTGTCTCCTGTGCTGGATTTAAGTATCTTAACACAGGTGCTTGAGTTGTAGCTTGCTTGATTCTTTTGAATGCATTCTTATGGGCCTCACTCCAATGCCAATTGGTGTAGAGGGTTGCAGATGTCCGCTAGATTTTTAAGGAATCTTGTGAGATAGTTTTCAATTCCAACCAGCCGTTGAACACCTTTCACATTGGTTGGTCAGCTTATGTTTTGGATGGGTCTAGTTTTAGGCCATCTATTGTTAGCAGGTGACCAACACAGGGAACCTTGGACATCTTCAGTTTGATCTTGCCCTTGTTTAGCTCAATACTCTTTTTCTTCATCTTGCTAGGAGGGCAGAAAGATTCTTGTCATGTTCATTGACAGCATATTGTTCCAAGATCTAGAACTGTGACTTATGAAGATAGGGCGCTTTCTGTTGCTGAACCAAGACTTTGGAATTAAACACCAGTTTCCTTAAGAAAGGCTGCCGACATCAATGTCTTTAAGCATCAGCAAAAAGCCATCTCTTTAAGGAAGTTTACCTTTTAAATTGTTTTACCTTATTTAATCTGTTATGTCAGAATTTTTAGTTTGCTGATGATATGTAATTAGTTTACATTTCTAAAGTATACACTGTAAACAAATTTCGTAGTGTAGATTTTTGTAGAATGATTTGTAAAGCATTATGAGCAGTTAGCGAAATAACTGTATATAAATAAACTCATTATTATCATTTGAACTTATCGTTTTCACCAGAGATAAGAATGTCATCTGCAGCTGTACGTACATCTAAGAGGCCTTTAATTGCTTGATCTAGGTGATGCTGGAAATATTCTGGGGCAGGCGAAATGCCACACAGGAGTAGTGATCAAAGGTTGTGAGACAGCTAGACTCTTCCTCTAACTCCATGTGCCAAACTCTATTTGTAGGTCACACATGCTGAAAACTTTGGCCTTTGACTAGGTCATCAATGACTGGAAGTGGATAATGGCGACACTTGTATTGTTGAGCTGTTTTAGGTCGATGTATACTTTTAACTTTACCACTGGGCTTCTTAACAACCACTAAGCTTGACACCCAGTCTGTTGGCATGCCAACTGGCTTAACCCCTGGAGTGCCAATACCATTGTGTATGCTGTGTGCCACACCATTTTCACCGTAAATGGGTGTCTCAAAAGAAACATCAAATCCCATGAGTCTGTAGGTACAAACATGTATACATTTTCTGAAAGGCCATTTAAATGTCTTTTTAACAAGATTAATTTTGATGAGTTTGACATGATGTGATACCCTTATGACATCACAACCGTAAGAAAATTAGCATTTTTCAACATTTCCTTAAACAAAAACAATGCACAAGTAAGTCTCTCAGCAGTTAAAATTGTGTGAAACAGATACATAATTTTTGGATAACATTTTTAAATATATCCAAAAATATCATTGCAAACAATCATGATCTAAGTACATAACAAAGTTGATATGTTCAAGTTGTTTTCACTGTCAACTGGTAACCGTATGAAGTACAGATACTTATAATACACTGTACACAATGAAATAAAGTTTTCTAACAGCAGTTTTTATACACTGTGTCCTCAAGGAGGTGTGTTGTTTTTGTCTTTTTAAGTGTCAGCCCAATACACAAACTTTGTGTGATACATTTTGAAGGAAAAGTAATAACATAGGCCAGGTTTGCATGGACAGTAGTAGCAGGATTCTTTTTTGATATTCTTCTTATAGCAGTCTCTGCACCTGTTCTCACCTCTTCTTTGCATTTGTTTTCCCTGCTGTTGGTGGAATTCGGTGCACAAAATGTCTTTCTTTAAGTCTCACAACATTTTCCTCTCTTGGAATGTGAAAGTGGTTGTCGTTGTCTCTACCGAAAACAAGGACAGCAATGACATTACGTTGAAATTGCAAGAAATGCTTTTGGCCACCATTTTTCTTGAAATCTAGGAAACATTTCAGCAAAGCAAGCTGCAAGAAGTGAAATGCTAACTTCTCGTTCCACTTAAGGGATTCTCTTGCTATTTCATATGGCTGCGAGAGCTGATTTGTACGTTCTACCCCGCCCATGTATTTGTTGTAGTCAGCAATGCATTTCGGGTTTTTCATGGGCAGCATTTCTTCCTGGAGTCATTTCCTCATTGTGAATTGTTTTAAACATTGGCACCTCTCTCTTGTCTTTGAACTTCGTAGCAAGAAGTTCATTGCTTCTGTGAGCAATAACCTCATCTCTCTTCAATTTTGCTTGTTTCACTGGTTCTGGATAACCCTGGCGATTACTGCAAATTGTTCCACATGCCAGTGTGCTGTGTTCAAAGAGATATTTGAAGAGTGTTACAATTGTGTACCCATTATCAACATATAAATGGTAACCTTTGTCAAGCAAAGGTTGGATGAGGTCATCAACAACTTCTCTGAGACTGAAAATACACCTTACGGCGGAGGAACATCGTCTTTGCCAGTGGTACTTTTGAATTTGTAGGTATAGCCACTGTCCTCTCATAACATAAAGCATTTTATTCCAAATCTTGATCTCTTTTGGTATCTACTGTTAAAAAGCAAGGTGTCCTTGCCACAAAAGTAGAGACAAGGGCGGTCCCCCTGTAGGGGGGTGCGGGGGCATTCTCCCCCTGGAGAATTTTGAAATTTCAAGTCCTTGGAAACGCGATTTCTGCCATTCTGAGGCAAAGTCAGCGTATTTTTACATCTCATTTTTTAAAGTTAAAAATGCCATTCTTTTTGCTTCAAAATATAACAAAGCTGAGTGGAAACGATGCAAATTTGCATTTATAAAACTATGATCAAAAGATACTGCATTTTATCTTTTTTCAATTTTGTGTTTCATCAAAGACGGGATCAACAAGAAGCATTATTCGGGGGTATCTTTCCGCAAAAAGCTGAACCACAGCATCGTAGTCAACGGGCTTTTTGTAGTGAATGTTCCTCAGAACCAAGCCTGACAGTCTTTTCGTTGTCATGGTGGTGCGTAAATATCCTTTGACAAGCTTCAAAGTACTGTTTGCTTGATCGTTGTTAAAGTGAGTCTGGTTTGATTACTTCTGATTTCCATTTTCTTGACCACCTGTCATATCTAATGTCTAGAGTCCAGAGACTTGGAAGATCTGACTGGTACATTTCCGACATCTCTTCAATGTTTGTATTTTCTTGTGTAACAATTATGCTTGGTGCGAGGGCCAAGTAACTGGACAGCAGTCTTCTGAGTAGGACCAAATCTAAAAATTTAGACAGTTGCACTAGTCACCACACACATGTCTGGTTTGCACCTTCTACTGTGCATATAATGAAAGTTAGGATGCTATTTTATATTATCAATTGACTAAGCTAAGAATTTAGTATTAAGAACTATCAAGAGGAGCTTTATCATGAATGTGTGTAACTTTAAACTGACAGGGCAAATACAAGCTAATACAATATATTGTATATTTAAAATGTTTACCTCGATGACATCTCTTCTGGGATATGGTCAAGGAAAGGAATGAACAAGGTCCGACGGTAATATTCTTCTGGGGAGTCATGGGGGGTGTTCTCTCTGTGCCGCTGTCTCAAGGCCATTCTTGGGACGCTCGGCTTGGTACCTGGGTCTGAGCCAAGGTCTATTGCATTTGCATACCATGCCTTAAATACGGTGTCGGCATCGTTTCTCATTTGCCTTAACTCTTTTCCCGTTTCCGCCATCATGTTATACGCTTTGACGATGTCATTATACTTCTTCTGAAGCTTAATGCTAACTGGCTTGATGACTGTCAGAGTTTCATCCCGACTATCAACGAAATGAGAAACTGAAACGAGCAACATGTGTGATAGCGGCCACTTGCCTTCTGAACAGTCTCTCTTTCCCAGTTCCAGGGCGTTTCCAAACTGTACTGTTGGTGGTGCTGCTCATCCAAAATAACCTCAAATGTTTTTATGATTGATGGCAGTAGTAGGGCAAATGTTTCGTATACCTTGTGGCACTCAACCCAACGTGTACGACAGAGGTCACGGATCTTGCTTCGGGGGGAATCTGGCTGATCCATGCTTATTACAGTTTCTACGCACCTTTGCTGCTTGGGGGAGTAGTTGAAAAAATTTGCAATCTCTGTTATAGTGCCACCCATGTTGCAAATTGTTGGCAGGCTACATGCTTTGACTATAACTAGATTCAGAATGTGTGAATTGCAATGCACATATAAAGCCTTTGGATTTTTTGGGGAAATTAACCCTTGCACTCCACGTACTTGGGATGACATGTTAGAAGCACCGTCATAGCCTTGACCCCGGCAGTCATTGATTTTCAGACCCTACTGTTCAAGCTTGCCCAAGATTAGGCCGCAAATAACTTCCCCGGTTATCCAGTCAGTACACTGGGAGTCAAGAAATTCTTCGTGAATTTGACAATCTTTGTCTACAAACCTCGAAACAAACGACAACTGTTCAAGATTTGCACTGTCAGTAACTTCATTGCAAAGAACCGAGAAAAACTTTGCTTCCTTGATCTCCTGAACAATAGATTTTTCTTGTGTATTCCCCAATCTGACTGATAATTTTTATTTTGTATTGTCTTACTAGAGTATCTGGCATTTGCATGGCAAGTGTCACGATTTTTTAATGACTCATCACCGGCATCAATGCGGACTTCCAACAAGGCAAGAAAGTTTCCCTTATTTGATCTTTCATCGGCGCAGCTGTCATCTCTGTGCCCTCTTAAAGCAATGGACTGTTTTCCAGAAAAGTGGACGCACTTTACAACACTTTTTATTATTTCCCTGTTTCGTGATATGGTGTTCCTTCGTTCGCTTTCAATTTGCGCTTGAATGTTTTTTTCAGGGTTCCGACTGGTGGAGAGAAAATTTTCGTAAGCCACCATAGCATCAACATGGTTTCTCGTGCTTACCGCACACAGAACCTAACTTTGTCCATCGACTGAATGGGGTATTTACTAAAGCACCTACTTTTTCACGCGTGGAAAAGAAAATGCATGGCAGACAGAAACAACCGTCACATTCGTTGCTGTAAACAAGCCATGAATACTTTTCCAGCCAGCTCCTTTAAAAATAGCGATTGCAGCCATTCATAGGAACTTTTGGGAAGGCAGATTCCTTTCCTGGTTTATAATGGTTGGTAACGACATTTAGCTTCTCAGCTTGGCTTAAGGACTTATTGGCTATTTTCTGGCGTAAAAGAGCACCCACATCAATTTCACGTGCTTGACTTAATAATGCATTACCATCCCTATCAGTCACCAATACTGAAATAGAAACAAATTTGCAATGTAGAACGTGGTTATATTCTGGGTTATTTAATATAGCAGCTGACTAAGCCATGAATAATATAATCAGCTTTTTTTCAAATTGCACATTTCAGTACAGTTCTTCTTCCTCCTCATACAAAATGGGATCCCCAAATTTGACATGCTTAAAATGACTGAGAAGGTCTGCCCAAAGATCGAATGGACCCCAGCTAGGGGAAAGAGAAAAAAATTCCAATCGTTTACAACTGTGCAAAATATCTCGAGCTTGTTCCACTGATATTTGTCCACAGTCACTGGCATATACAACTTTAACTTCAGAGAGGGACTTGAGTATACTAATCAAGGATTTTCCATCAACTTGAAAGCAATTTGGCATTCGTAAGACTTCCAACGTTTCCTTCACAAGAAGGTACGTTACCATACTGTCTGCAGCGATATTCTGACAACCTTTTATGTCAAGGCACTTTAAAAAGGGCATATGTCTTATAAAATGCAAAGAAAAGACGTACATGCGTTTGTCGTTCAAGCTACATTCGAACACTTAAACACACAAGTATTTACATACGTATGTAACAAACTATTAATAGCAACATGTAAACGAATAGGTTTCTGATTATTTACCTGTAGGCGACAGTAAACCATTCCTTCTGTTGGACTTTACACGATCTCAGTTAAATTGCAGTTGAGCGTATGAATCTTCAAGTTATAAGATAAAAGCCGATAATTCTGGTTACCGTGTCTATTGTCTTTTTATGAAAAAAAAAAAAGGATTTGAATGACCCAATGTTATTCTTAGTGAAAGCAAGCAAAAGCAAGCGAAAGCACCCTAACTTACTATTTGTAACAGGACAGTCCGCCTGATGCATTTTTATGGTAACCTTTGCTTGAAGGCTCAAATCCTTACAATCATTAGACAAGCAGTCACTAGAACATCGAAAATGGAGAAAGAAGAACATGCTATGGAATTTACAGAAAACGCAAGTGCGGATGGAATAGTTGACAGTGTAAAGAAATTTCTTGAAAGTGGTTGCAAATGCTCACGTGGTTCGAAGGATGGCCCCTGCTCATCGCAGTTTATGGGAGAAGAAGTCATGGCAAATCTAAACAACTGCCTCGAACTGTCCACCAAAGAACTCGACCTAGTCATCTTAGCAAACATACAAGCTGTAACCCGTTTCGAAAATATGGGAGAGAAAAGGAGCAGAAGCCCTCGCTGTAATTTCCTCTTCCAGTCAAAGCCGATTTTTCGAGAAATGTTTCTTATGCTCTATGGTTTAAGCTACTCCCGCTTTCGCGGGCTGAAGGAACATTACGAGAGCAATGGCCTTTCATCTAGAACCCATGGAAACACAAAGCAGCTTCCCCAAAACACTCTTTCTCACACTGTGGTAGAAGATGTCAATGCTTTCCTTTCAAACTATGTGGAGGACCACGCAGAAATGAGAAATGATCCTTTTTTGCTGCGCAGCGACCGAAGGGAGCGAGCAGCAACATAATCAGGATTTAAAGGAAATATATAAGGGGCGACGAATTCTCGAATTCATCACTTTTTACCACAATGCATTGCATTTAACCAGAGTGCATTGCGCCACGAACAACTCAAATAAAAATCACGGGAAAGTTCGGTGGGTGAGAGAGTGCATTGTTCGCTGCTCAGACTTAGAGTTTTCTTTGTGGCAAATTTTCTACAGCACGGTTAGAAGTCTTACCAAATTTTAAGACACGCAGGAGTCTTTCAGATGAGTACGATGGTTAACTTGGGGATTGGATTTCAATTCAAGAGCCTTTGACTCGTCCAGGTGTTAAACCTGACGAGAAGATGAGCATTTGCT